ATGCTTTTCACGAGTAAATAGAAAAAGAGAGTGAGACTGTTAGTACTACTTTCTCTTACAATTACAAATAGTAGTAAAACATATTAAGATTTTATTTCCTGAGCTTACCTGAAATAGTGTCACTAAGAAATCAGGGGATATGGATTCTACTTGTAAGTGTTAATTGTTGCATAGGTGTTATTTAAATAAGTTAGCTTTTGTTATCACAAGAGAATTAGCTCAATCACAACCCTCTGCTTCATTTGTTTAGAATGCTTTAATATTGAATCGTAGAAGCGATAGGAAGTGATAGTGGGATGCACAAGTGTAATATTACAAGTACTTTTTCAATTCTACCAAACATTGTGGCTGTGCCATGCATTCTGCAGTTCCTGCACTGACAGTGAGGCTGCCTCTACAATAAAAGCTCACTACACTGTAAAATGTACTTGCTTGGTATTAAAGAATCGTGGTAAGGAGGTAGAGGCACTTTTTTAAGAGTTATATGAAGCAATGCAAATTTGTGTGGCAAAAATTGGGTCTTGTCCAAGCAAAGATAGATTTGACCAGACAACTTGACTGGTGCCAGTCAGGAATTTTTCAAGCCCTGCTGAATGATGCCAAGGAATTTGCTCATTGTAAAATTACAGTATATCAAACCTTTTTCTGCAAAAACGTTTTGGTAACACTACCATATCATTATTATAGTTAAACAATGTTGCATTACCAATATTCATGATATTATCTTTGTCTGGTTGATAAAAGAGCCAGTCAAAGAACAAGGCAAGTTTGGAATTTGCTGTTGAAACTGCAGTCTGAAACAAGACCCACAAGAAACCACAGTTACCATTAGTAAACATATACTGATGAATGCAAAATGAGGAAAACCTTTATTTTTGCTTCTTCTAGCTACCTTTCTGCAACACCACCATAGTAGAGTGGTATGTTGTAGCACCTTTCAGTCAGTATGTGTGTGATATCAGGAGCAGGCTAGATCTTAACTAAACTTAACTTGACACAATAATTTATCATAACTTCTGAATTTTCTGGGGGTGGGAAGGGGGATCGAGGGGAGGGGCTTAAGAATAGCAAATTTGAAAACAAACTACCAAAACGTAGGGCCATCAGGCCTTCACACTTTATGATTTATTTCCAGTAAGGAGGAGATGTTGTCTTGTACAAAACCTCTATTATCCTGGGTTGAATCTGCCTAGGGAACTATCAAAATTAAGTATTAGGCTAAGAACGTTGTAAATCCAAACACCAGAGTTAAGCACGGGTCTCTGTAAAACACGGACTGGATAGTGGCAGATGGCGGACAAAAAAATGTGAATGGAAAAATGGGGGTGAAAAAATGGGGAGAGAAAAATGGGGATGGCAAAATGCGGATGGAAAAATGGGGATGGAACAATGCAGAAGGAAAAATGGGAAAGGCAAAATGGGAAAGGCAAAATGGGGATGAAAAATGGGGATGGAAAAATGAGGATGGAAAAATGGGGATGGAAAAATGAGGATGGAAAAATGGGGATGGAAAAACAGGAATGGCAAAATGCAGATGGTAAGATAGGGGGAAAATGGGGATGGAAAAATCAGAATGGAAAAATGGTGAAGGACAAATGTGGATGGAAAATGGGATGAAAAAATGCAGATTGAAAATGAAGATCGTACAGATTTTGTCATAAGTATTTAGTCATCTGAAATTTTCCATCCGTATTTTGTCATCCGCAGTTTGTCTTCCACCATCTGCCAATATCTTGTCCATGTTGTATAGCTACTCTTCCTGGATGTATAGCTACTCCTCCTGGATGAAAAGCTACTCCTCCTGGATGAAAAGCTACTCCTCCTGGATGTAAAGCTACTTCATATCTCCTTTGGACTTCTTTGCGGAAATGTAGAGGACAATTTTTAGGATTGTTGAGTTTGTCGAATTTAGTTATAGTTTGTTCTTCAGCAAAACAATTTCTGCTAATTCAAAGACTGTTTTTTTGGCAGGGAAATGAAAAGAGGACATAATTTGGTTTGCTGTGACAACTGGTAGTGCTAACTGCAACTGCAAAGAAATTTTAAATGGTTACAACTAAAACATCTAACATACAAGCTTGTTTCTCCCACATTCTTAGTTTCCCTGAAGTCTCATGCTCAGTTTGGTATACTCCTGCACCCAAATACAGTCATCAGAAAAAATTAATGGCAGATTAAAGTAACCTGAAACAGTATGTACTACAAGGTAAAGCTAGTGACCTGGCAAGATGTCAGCAGCCAGCCGATGATGGCCCATCTTGGTATAATGTCAGAACACAGCACTTCATTACAAGGATGAACTACACCAACTATGTAACGGATTAAATCTGCTCGAAGACTCTGACTTTCAGGGGTGGACAGATACTGAAATAAAAAGTGACAAATAGTCTATTTATTATATGTTTATTAATTTATCATTTGGCCGTACATAAACTAATTAAGAATAATATTTATAATATAAACTGCAGTGTTTTAGTGTTTTAGCCATGGCGACTAGAATTTTGCAGCTGGCAACTAACTTCAAATGGAAGTCGCCAACCCAGCGACTATAAGATTGACAGCTTGAGAGGACTATCATCCAGAGTGAACAAAAAAATGCTCTGAGCGTTATGAATTCACCTGTAAAAATACAATGTAAGTTCGTTCTGCCATTCTAACCAACTGAAACTGATACTTATATAAAATGAAACGTTTAATTCCAAGAACCCATCACAAGAAAACACAGATTTGCAGTATGTCATTAAGCATTATATGCGATGAACTTTGTTCTGCTTGACTGAACTTTAGCATGTGATAATTTTACCTTTGAGCGTGAGACAACGCACAAGTACAGTTTCTGCATGTTTGATACATTGATGCTGAGTTTGGGTTTGTATCAAATGGAAACCATCTGCATCCCAAAAAAGGAACTAAAAACTATTAGGGGTGGTCAACCATGTCTTAGATGGGGGGGGGGGGGGGGGGAATTCCATGACTTGAATGAGCAGATCTTCACAAGACAATTTTCGTGGCAAAAATTCATAAAAATCTATCAAATATTCACAGTTATGACATTGTGGAGTAAAGGAGAGTAAAGGGTTAACCAAGGTAAAAGTTTGATTTACCCTCTGATCAGGCGCTAGGCATGGTTAAGGTCAGTAGTATCTTGCACCCCCGTGGTGTCCAGATTGCATCAATCTCATTTGGTCAAGTTTTCAACGTTTGTAAAAACGTAAGCCAAATCTGAGCCAGCAACTCAGACAATATATTTGAATGTGTGTAGACAGTCTGAAGTTCTCTTTCCATCATTTTTCAATGAAATTTCCGTGCAAAAGGGTTTCAAACCAGAACTGGTTAGCGAGGTCATTAAAAGTGCTCCCTCCCTAAGCCATTTTTGAAAGTTGCGTGGTTTCGTTCATTTGAACTGGGCAATTTGATTTCTCTCTGTAGCTTCATCTTAAGTACGATGCATATTAACATGTTTTAGTTGGTCTATATGGTTTTCCAATGCAATGTGAGTTTCAGATTTACAAAATGCGGCATTGCATTTCAATATTAATTGCTGCAATTGGGCGAAAAGTGGGACAATTGCACTATTTAGTTTATAAGCAATCTTTGTCAGTAGAGTAAAGGAGAAGTTATCGGAAGATTAGAGAAAAATGATTTCAGCAAAGCTTGTTCTAAAGTTACTATCATTTGCAAATTTCTTGCGCTCTGCTCCAGAGAAGTCGAAGAAGCTCCAGCAATCGAATTGCGGTGCTTTTATTTCCCTGCCGTGAAACTACTGTCGCCGAATCCACATAAATCTCTTTCACGTATGTACGTTTAATAACTACGAAACTTAGCAAAATACAGATGTTAACCGTACTATGTAATGCTTAATATTCATAAGTTGCATGTTTGGACTGAAAATACCATAAACAAAGTATTCGCGGTTGATCATATCATTTGAATTTGATGAAAACCTGATGTGCATTTACATTTTGTGGTTTTAGAAAAAAGCTTTCGAAGTATTTAACTATTTTTCACAGTGTTTTAGTTTATCAGTTTCGGTATACTTCGTTTTCTAAAACAAACAAAGCACTGGGCCAATCCATTGAAACTTGGCACCAGCAGTTCTTTCGGAATTCCCACCTTATTTGTATATTACATTTCATTCCCATGCATGTTTCGTTCAACTGGCTTATCAAAATAAATGTTATTCATTCTAATTATCTTTCAAGGAAATGCCTGTTCACTTCCTTACTAAGGAATTAATACCTTTACCAAAGAAGCCATACTTTCCATAGTTACACTTAAAATCATATTTGTCAAATATGTATTTGTGTAAACATGTCAAATTTTGATCGCCAATGTTTTGACACATCAAATTTGCATATTTGCTGCAAACTTGTTAATTTTGCTTTAAGTAACGCTCCGCGTAAGAAGTAGGCAAGCCAAATGCACAGGCGCTAAATTACAAATTATTAACTTAATTAAAATGGCGGCTGCTGATTGGTTGAAAACAAAAAAATGTCAAAAAAGTCTCCAAGAAATGAATTTTTCGCGCATTTTATTGTTAATTTTTGATCCCAGAGCCCTCTATTCTGTATATGTNAAAGGGCATTAGGTATTTTAATCAAAAGTGAACTTTGTCAAAAACGCTCCAAATTTTGCATGCAGTTTTGTTTAGGTATGTTTAGCAATGTCCCATAGTGTTTCCGCTAAGCTTCGCTTCCTTTTTGAGATATTGTGTATGCAAAAAAAACCACTCGGTTTTCCAAGCGGCATCCTCATAAATGAAGCAAAAACCAGCGGGAAAAATACAGGACCACGTTTTTCTATAACATTGAAGACCACATGCAAAAATTCAAGCCCTTTCACGAAAATTTTTTTTTCACCCAAATTGTCACTTAGCATGGTTTTGCACTCACCCCTTCAATTAAAAAATGTATGTGTGAAACAATGGTACTGTTGTGCATGTGTTTTGTTCATTTTGGTGGACAACTAAAGCTACTAAAGACAAAACAAGCTTCAGCCTCGTTCCCATGCCTGACCCATACTTTAAAAACCACTGTTATCCACTAGCCATAGAATCATTGCTATCATGCTTTTCTCCACAATTTATGGTGTAATCTACTAGAAAACCATCATGAACCTTATTCACCCCGGATGATACCAACCAGCCCTACTGGCTCACGGACTAAAAGGTCTACAGTAACCTTAAGTGGAACAATTTATGACGTCATCACTTTCCTCATTTGCATAATACAAAAACATGAATATCTCTAAAAAGAAAAAAGATATTCCAAAAAGGAAAACGCCAATCTTCTTTACTTTGAAAAGCCTTTCAAATGACCAGCAATTATTTTTTACTTCATAGGCACGTTAAAGCCTTACCCTTTAAAGCCTTACTTTAAAGGCCCAGTATTGGCCATTATCCTTAGAGCACCTCTCAGTTGTTTGTTTGGGTTCTCATGGGAGTGCAGCATCTATTGTTTTCAAGTTCTATTCTGGCGGCAACCAAAAGAATCCTCAGAATGTTCAACATCACAAAAATGGCTGCCAAGAGATCGCAGCATACAGTGCTTAATGGGCAATACTGGGTCTGCTGCATCCATGCAATTTTTTTTTAGTCAGAAAAATTTAGTTCATTGCACTTTATTTGTCATAATTGTTAAACAGGTACATTGACGTCTAACATGCACCCTACTGTACCTTGGATGTTAAGAACAAAATCTTATTTTCCATTTCAGGATGCAGCCTACATGCCAAAAACTTCCTCGAGGTCCTGGTGTACAGCAACTGAGCAATACCTTTATTCATAACAACAAGAATAAAAAAGAAATATATAACCACTTTGCCAAGGATACTAGGTATCACATTAAATTATTCCATTTTATAATAAAGTACCAATAAAACAAGCACTCTCATTAGTTTGAAGTAGCTCACAATGGTTTCCAATTTTTTTCTGGAACTTTTTCTTTCCTGAATCAATTGGTCACTAATTTTCAATTGATGTTACATTGTACTAGTATCAATAAAATAGTATTTCGGCTCAGTAAAATGTTCAATCTTGACATGATTTTTATAATTCCATAATATATAGATTTACCCAAGCCTAAAAGCAGAGCTCCTGATTGCAATAACTGATGATAAAGGAAAAAGAGAATTATTTCCTCGTGGATCAGAAACTCAAAAAATGATCAATTGTGACCATGTAATTGTTCAGCGTGCTGTTTTGCTATTTTTTCCAGTTAAAGTTTAACAAACTATACCCCACAAGCCTAACCAAGATTGTAGAAATTATGTACGCAATATATGAGGGTCCCCTATACTTTTTTTCGTGACGTATGAATGGGCGTTTTTTCTTTGCGTGAAGCGTTAATGAGGATTTTTTTTTCTGTGATTCGTGAATCTATGTTTTTCCGTCCTCGGGAAACTGGTTTTCAATTTTTTTCATGATCCGTGAAAAATGCACTTACTTTCGCGTGATTTGTGAACCATCGACTTTTGTGGGAATAATTTTTCACATTTTTGGAGATTTTAGCGTCATAAAAGCTCGTAAACTATACCAAACTGGATGTAAAAAGTGTGACGGCCTGCCTCTCTCGACATCTCTCGACGTGCGTGAGGATGGAGGACTGAGAACTAACCACAGCAACAGTGAACCAGGAGGGCCTAGAATCTAGTCTGTCATGCTGTGTCACACACGCGGGGTATCACGCCATTTCGATCGAGAAAAGGCAGAAAATGGACGGTTCTGCAGAAAAGGTGAGTTAATCTGTCAGTATCCACACTCTATCCAGCATTAACTGATGTCTGCTCAACCATTGCTTCGATGTCATAACCAAAATATGTCAACAAAGTGTTAGTATGTCTTTTGGATTCTTTCTTTTGTCTTCACGAAGGTAGCATTTGCATATTTCATTCATATTGTCATCTTTATTGCTTGGTGACCTTGTGCATGACCTAGCTGCAGTCTGCATTGTCAACCTTTATAGATAGTGTTTCTGTAACCTCTGTAAGATGCTGTAAGTACAAAAATTATTTAGACATCTTTGGATGTAGTAATTCATCAAAGTGCATGTAAACAGTGCTATTTTTCCCAAAAATCTCGAATATGTTCAACACTCGATCCCAGTTGTAGTTGCGATGAAGTGTATGAAAACAAATCCTACATTTCAGGTTTTTGTCCAGTCCTGTTGGTTTTTATATTTGTATTTGTCAATTTTTCTTTATGGTCTTTTATGATGTAAAAGTGTACAGTACAGGCTAAACCTACAATTCCTGAAATTCTGTGGAATCGATTGACAAAGCCTAAAAATAATTAAAATATTGCACACTGTCTATTGTCATTGTCATGCCAGCGATTATAAGCTAATTGGAGAAAGTCTGTAAGTCAAGTCACTGAGAGAAGCTATGGGAAGTTGGAGGATGTGACTGAATATCTGCAGTGAAAACCTAATGGAAATGGCGAATAACCTTTCAAAGATTTTGTCTAATATTCAGTCCACCTGGTTGAGTCACAAACTAAAAGTGTCAGTGCAAAGTAAGGTCACAGACTTTTTCGCGTCGAGTTTCAAGAACAGTAAAGTACTTTAATTTTAATTTAGTCCGAGAGTACCAGGAGGAGTATGAGTAGATGAGCGTAAGGTTTCCATACTTTAAACTTGTTACAGTTATAAAAGAAACTAAACAATGTTTTAATGCTGTTAAAATGCCTGCTTAATTCCTTGTATAAAGTAAAGCCACGGACTTATTCAAGTGCTACAGTACTATTCAAGTGCTACAGTACTATAAAATTAATTTTAGTCCGAGAGTATGATAAATGACCATAAGGTTTCCATAGTTTAATTTTACAGTTACATTACAATCAAAACAATGNAAAGTCAACAATGCGCCAGGGGTTAATTTGTGCCGAAATTTTGCCTTTGCGAGTACTCCTTCCTTCTCCCTCAGAGAAATAACGTGACTTGAGCCTGCGATCCAACTGGTGAACCAGTAACTGGTCAGCGGTCAACTTTAAAAAAAAAAACACACAACCTTGATGAGCTCTAAACCTGAGCCCGTGATATAGTCACGTGATACTGGTCAGCAGATAGCTTGTTGAGACAGCTGTCAATTAACAATAGTGTGGATGCCCAAAATAAAGATGTAGTTATGGTAATAGTGCTACTCCCTTAGTTTTCAAGGTATTGGCATACAGACATGTGGACGGACAGATGGACAGTCACATGACAACCAAAATTTTTCAGATCGATGGGTTACCAAATTTCCTAAGGTATGGGGCTCTGCTAATAAAACATTGGGGTCACCAAAGTGGTTCATATATAGTGAAACTCATTTTGGGGTTTTAAGAACTTTTTAACAGGTTATACTATTGCCAAGGCAACTTGCAAGTTCAACAAATTGACCATTTAACTTGTTCACTAGTCTAATGCTTGGTTTAGTATTGATCCACCAAAGTAGAATCACCGAAAATTGCTGGATACTGATGCCAACCACATTAAAAAAACATGCTTTAGCACACACTTTTCTGCATTTGTCACTTCTTTACATGCTTTATAACATAGCAAAGCACGATCAATCCTCAATTATTGAACTAATAAAATATGTTATATAATGTCTTTACATCATGTCTTCATTCCTTGAATAGTAGAATAGTGACAGTTGACATCACTTCAAGTCCCTTACCAAACATCAGCTGTACGTTAACTGACAGCTATGAATCAAAGGAGAACTACGAAGAAGCCGTGAATATATTGCTTACAAAATGGAGAGGTCTGCTTCAGTCAGCTGCTATATGCTTGAATAGGTTTTGAAGATAATTAACAAGGTCACACAAAAAAGTCAAATAACTCTGTCGTTGAAGCACAATATTTCTGGTTTTGTTTATTACAATTTACAGTGCACCTACTCCTACCAGGGCCACCCAACAAAATGTTCCACAAATTTATTGCATAAAAATCATGGAGGTTAACAATAGTTTTGCAACAAATTATCCATGCATGTAATCAAGCTGTACATTACAAAGGTAACAGATTGGTGGTCATTTCAGATAATTTGTTAGAAAACTATTGTTAACCTCCACGATTTTTATTTGTTAAAATTTTAATTTGTACAAAATTTTGTCAGGTGGCCTTGGTTAGAGTATTCACACTGTAAACATTTATCCACCCCTGAAAATCAAATACTTAAAAAAAATTTTCTTGACACCTTCGCGGCCTTTATGAATTTCCTGGAACACATCACCCTTTCAGGACTTTTAGCATTACCCTAGAGTAGATAATTTTGTGTATATCTAGTTTTCTAACTGCATTTTGTACTTTTGGCTACAAGACTGTTTTGTTTGGATGGACTGATAAGTTGTGCTACTGACATTTCCAATAGTTTTGTTTATGTTTGATTCAAGGACTCTTTTAGCTTCACAGCCAATCTCAACACAGAAAGTTATACCTTTTAGTCTTTCAAGCAGCTACTAGCAATTACTTGGTTACATAATTATGTGCTGACCCCAACGAGTATCAATTGAAGGAAAGCCAAAGTGTATTTCAACATAATTATTATGATGCGGCATTACCTCGGATAGTAGTACACTGGAAAATCAATATTGGTGGTGGACATATTGCTTTATTTGCATCTGAGTGAGTGACAAATTTGCATATTCTGACCCCTTACGATAGTTGTTTCTATGCTTTGCATATCCACAACTAAAAAAGTAAAGATTATACATGTAGTATAAAGAAAGAAATGCTGTTAGGTTCAATTTTAAATCACTAGCTTACTAGGACACTGAGTGGGCACATGTACAATGTACTAGCATACTAACATTATATATGGAGATTTCTAAGAAGATAAAACCAGGAGGAAAGCAAAGAACAAGAAAAGAACAAACAAATTAAAATACACAAAGAAAAATTCTTTCATTCTCTCTCCCTTCCTAAAGTTAACAAGATATTGAACATACGAGAACTACAAGTAAAATTAATACAGAACAGTAACAACAACAAACAAAGGCACACACCTGAAAACTGTGGACAAAGTGACTGAGGTCTGTGCAAAATATCTTTCCACAATGCACCAAACTCTGGTATTCTTGAGAACAAGAAAAATGGATAATGGTGAAACCTTTGCATCATCTACCTTAAAATACATGTACTGTATGTAAATGCTTAGTTTTAACAGTCAAAAGGCTCTTGAAAGAAAACTAAATAATAATCACTAAATCTTTCCTTCTAAAAGAAAAACACTTGCTAGTATAAATTATGACATTTCAGTGTAATCTTGTTGCCATATTATTTAACAAAATAACGCAGATTGTTAAGTCATACAGTTCCCATAAATCATAAATATAACCAAATAGCAAGTTGAAATCCTTATCGGTTATTAGTGTGCTCAATAGTTAGACTAGAGCAATTTATAACAATAGAAGTAAAGAGCTAGATTAGTTGGTCCAAGACTTTTTTCTTGCTACTCAGAGTTTCATGCTTTTTCCGAAGAAATCATCAGGCAACCACCAGAATAAACGGTTGCAGGGAAGATATTTGAAAAATATCAGAACTATACATAATAGGTGTGCCACATTGCAAGACAATAAAGATGCTATGGCTAATTACGTGATGCAATTTTAAGTAAAAATTTCCTAGAATGTCTACAACACAATATCGGTTTGACATTTTGGGTTTACGTAAAATGAAATATTTCTCCCATAAACACAAATTACATTTCTTTGTAACATTTGAACAAGATCTAGCCTCCTTTATCTTATTTGATGTTGAACTCAATGTTCCGTCTTTCAGGCTCCATATATGCAAGCTAAGTTCAGTTATGCTTCTATACTTTTCGTTTCAAAATGAGCATATTATGATTTCTCTATCTTAATTTAAATGGACTATCACAAAGTCCAACGTAAGTCTCTTTAGTTGTTCGTGCAGTGACTTCAGCCTGATATATTATACTGTCTTTCAATGTTGCAGTTGCCATCCATGGGGCACGTGTCTGGTTTCCCGCAGTTACAGTTTTTATTATCTTCTTTGGGATTTGTAGATTTGCTGATTATGGCTTTGTTGTGGCTGGATATAATTGATTTAACATTATTCATGCAGCTGTAGCTTAATTTAAGAGCGTTGCAATTGAAACTTTCATACAGTGAGTTAGACTTTGGGAAGTCCTGATCAATAAGGGAAATGAAGCATTTTCCAATGTTTGTTTGAAGGTTGAAGGATGCAAAGTTGTGCACTCCAAAAAGCTTCTCTTGTTTGCAAGCAATTGTCGAGGCTATTGTAATCACTGAAATTGCAGATTTGTTCAATGATGACGAAATCAAAGACATGAGACAAGACATGAGTTTCCTTGTTTAAGTGTATTGCCACCTCACAAGTATTTTTCTTTGTACTCATGGCTGATTTGTGGTTACAAAATCTGACTTTAAACTCATTGGTTGTGAATCCTACATACTGAACATTACATTTGTTACAAGTGATCAAATAAATTACTTTCTTAGATTTATGATGAAGATGTTGTCTGATTGGATAGCTCCTGCTGGTACCAGCACTAGCAAAGTGGTCCGATTCTACAAAAGAATTCCTGCAGAGATCGCATTTCCTTAAACATTTAAAACAAAAACTGTGTGATTGACATTAGTGCGGCAAGGTCACGCAAGAATTTGTTTTAATGTATATATAGCGAGAATTTTAGGCAATAAACCTTGCAAATAGAATTCTATATGTGCTACAGTATTGTGCAAAAGTAACGCAAGCGAATTTCGACGAATTTCTTGGCTTTTCTTGGCTTTTCGAAGAAATTTCCCTTCAAATGAAATTTCTGCGACTTTTCCACGAACTTTCAAGGCACCTATTGCTTTACTCCTCCCGAACTTTCGAACGATAATTCGCCGTGGACGCTAACGAGTCACGAAAGTTCGAGGGACAGTTCGCTCTTTTCATGTTACAAAACATGACATTTCCCCGTGGGATTCCAGTCTCCACGCGAGCAAGCGTGACCTGCATTGTTTGCAGCCATGGCAACGCTTAGTAAACCACTTTCTCAATCATTTGCTTCTTAGCACTTTAGTGATAATCATGCCAAAAATTTCAAGCTATGCGAGAACTTGAATCGAGCTCCTCCATAACCAAGGTCTCCATCCAGCTGGAATATTGAAAAACTTGAAAGGCGAAGGCTTAGTTGTGAGCCCTTCAGGCATCACTCGCATGATCAAGAAGCTGCGTCTTACCGGCTCCGTGGCAAATTTACCTCGCTCGGGAAGACCAAACATACATACATACATACATACTTTATTTGCAACTCCCCAAAGGGGCTTTTCAGTTACAAAAGGAATAAGAAAGATAAAAATACGTCAATTAAAATGAATAAACAAAATAGGAAAGGAGTCTTAAAAAAAGCTGTCTATAGAAGCACGTCTATAGAAGCACGAGCCTTCACAGATCAGCAGATGCGAAAGAATGACGAGATGACGAGCACCAAGCTCTCCATGTGTTCATCCACAGTACGGAGATCGTGAAAGCAGCAAGGCTGGACTC